TACGTGATGCATTGAATTTTTTATTTTTTTCAAATTTAATTTTTGTGGGAATTTATTACTGTCATTCCATATGACTTTAGCAGAAAAATATATGAATTGAATGAATAAAAATGAACAATATGTATGATAAATAGAACTATACTCTCATTGTAAGGTAGGTATGCTTAATAATGCTTTTAATGGATGGTTTCTGCATATATTGGGGTGATGTTAGGAGAGGTTTTGAAATGACTAAGCTGACACACTCTAAATCTAATATCATAGTTTTACACCTATATAAAAACCATTTAAGCATCATTATCTTTGACTGCCTAGGACTCTTCCACAGTAAAAATCATATGAATATGAATCCACCTTACAACAAAAGACAGTGAAGTTAGAACACATCCCTACTCACTCTGCAGAGTTTGCTAATAATGGTCACCTAAACCAAAGGCAAAATTATATGTATTAGAAAGGAAACAGCTAATACATGTATAAGAATCAAAAATGGAATATTCAGTTACCAAACAGGAAAGATCCACCAAATGAGCAGTCCTCAATCACCTTTAATAGGCTAACTGTTAATTAATATAACTGAAGACACCAGTTTAAACTTAAACTATGGGACCATTTCTTGTATTGTTCCTGAGTCGTAAGACTTAGTGTACGGGCTCGCACGGAAGTAGATCACAATAAAGATCCAAAACCTAATTACTCCCAATACAAGCATATACCCCCACTACCTAAATTCGTTCCACCGACTTGGGAGACAATGCGGATATGGTGAGGAAGGACACAACAGAAAGTTAAAATACAGCTATGTTTATTTGAACACCATTAGGCAACCCACACAGGCACTCGCACACAGCGTCCATGCCACTTTATATATATATATATATATACACACATATGATAAAACCAAACACTAATTACAAATAAACCACTTCATTACAAACACACAACATTACTGATAACACAGCAAAGGCAATGAGAAACGCACACATAGGGTTAGTCGTTAAAGCACAGCAATACCATGCAATGGTGTTCGAAACATTCTCTCACAATTACAACAGTTAAAAAACATCTTTCACCATAGACTAGGATAAGAGCTGGGAAAGCACCCGTCAATTCCAATCAGAAGCGTTACCCGTCCGGTTTAACCCCCCTTTCTAGAACCTACCATAGGAAGAGAAACATCTTAAATTTAGGGACCACGTCTTACCAGCTCCCCTCACCATTAAGAGAAAGCTCGGCCGAACTCCCCGTCCATTCCACTACGCTATGTATACATCCTAGAGACCGATAACTTTGATAACCACAACTGGGTGCCGAGGGCACTCCTCAGCCCTCTCCTGACGCCCACCCATCAAAATAGAAGTCCCCCAAATAAGATCCTGAATACAACACCCCACCGTACAGTATGTCCCCTTATATTAGCAAATGGTAATACCTGGCTACAAAATCATTTTCAGCACTCTGTAAACAGAAATTCAGTTAAATGCTTTTAGACTGAACAGTAGCTGATAACCTATACAAAAGAAATGATTTAAACATGCAGTAACCATACATTAACAATTTGTTTCTTTTAAAGTCATAGCCCTCACTTCTCAGTTTATGTGGTTAAACGCAACACTCCATTTGTTCCGTTAGTCAAATGAAAGAGTTGGATCATGTCCACATTCAAATTTTACTTTTACATTTCAGTCAATAGCATATGATGCATCAGGACATAAACTACTCAAACAGCAAATGAGGAGAAAACTGGGTAACACTTTACTTAAGGCACCCATGTATAATGCATTAGAGATACCTTCCTAATACATTATAAAGTATTCATGAAGTATTATACACATGGCTATAACTATTTATAAAAAGGTGTAACACCTTACAGCCATGTTTATTATGCATTACGAATGCTCCGTGAAGCTGTCATCTATAATGCACTACAGATACCTCCATAATGCAATATATGCTCCACCCTGAATGGATGGAGAATATATCATGCATGACTGATTGACAGAGGACCCAAAATGCCTACACCATGATGACAAATTCACAGTGTGGCACTTAATGGGGCACTTCAGTATGATAAAATGAAATAATAAAAAAGTGAATGTTACCCTTTTATAGTCATGTAACTATTTACATATGTAAATATATGCAACTAAAGAGTGTTCATGTGTCCTCATCTTTGTTACTCTAGGACCAGACCTGTGGTGCTGGTGACAGTGAGAATGACCTACAATCCGCGCACAATCCCAGCTGACAACTCTGACTGCAGCAAACACCTACCTTACATTGCAAGAGTGTGTTTCTCCATGGTGAGCCGTACTCGGGGCCAATCAGGTGAGCACTCGTTATGTGTTTGATATTCAGAAATAGCTTAGCATTGTGAAACCTGTCTTTGTTTAATTCTACCTCAAATGCTAACTATAAATTGCCCGTTGTGTATGAGTGTGAGTGTCACATCAGTGTAATGCACAGGCATCCCATTCAGGGTGAACCCCAGCATTGCACCCTGTGTTGCTGGGACATCCTCCTGCCCCCCCATCCATCGCTTGGTGGTTGGAAGATGTGTGGATTTACATTATAACTGTTAATTTTCTGTTGTATACAGGAGATCTGGAAGCACAGCTTAATTATACCTTGACTCTTGACGCCTTTCGAAGTGCTTTGCGGTCTCGTGCCTTTTTTGGTCCTTCCCAACCATCCCTGACCAGAATGCTTACCATAAGAGGAACTTCCCGAGATAAGTGTGAAGACCATAAGTTCTCAATACAAGTAAGTACATTGTTTTATATTATTCTGTTTTATTTATTTCTTTGATATTACTCAATGAGGTCGATTCTCCCATGGGCTTTATGCACCTTTTGCACCCATCACGGATGGCACTGTGCGTGCCGTGGTGCTCGGGGTACACTCAGTGCACAGCCACTAGGCAGATGTCATGAAGGTAAACTACAGGCCAGAAATTTGGGCCCACCCATCAGTTAAAAAAAAAAAATGATGATAAACTTCTTTTTCAAACTTTTATTACAAAAAAATAGAGATACTTAAAGCAAATCTAACTGAATGGTTTTGAAGTGTAATGTAACAATTTACTGTACAATGTAAGTGTAATTTAATGAATGCCAATGCCGAATATTTTAAGCCTACCCCCGAGTATTTTATCACTCTGGGGTCTAGGGGTAAGAAACACACTTTCACTGACTGGGGCATGATCACACATTTCTTCAAATATCATAAACTTAATTCATGGTAAATAAATTATTTCTTATATATTTGTTTTGCCATTACACTCATCTTTATTTTAATGTATATTCTAAATATGTCAGATTTTTGTTAAGGTTGTAATTTGACGTCAAAGTATTGACATTGCAAAATGCAGTTTGAAACCCTTGCAGAAATGTTATAAAAGTACATAGTAAGCAATGCTGGCAGTTTGTTTTGATCCCAGATATCTGATCACCAAAGTTTTGGCTACATGAAGATGACTAAATGGTGTAGTTGCAACATTCAGTTGGATAAATAAATAAGAAGCTAACTCTTGTCACTATTTCTGGTCTCCTTCCATTGAATATTTAGGAGCTCTTATGTGTACACATGAGCCATTCACACCTGGACACACCGCCCCCCCCCGTTTTATGGCGCTGATGGGGATGTATCTGGATCGCGTTTTACCGTTGTGTTGTTCATGAAATTACCATGTGAATGCGATTTGAATACGCGCTAATGTGGCTATTTAGAATGTGAATAGCGATCTTCGGGTGAGAGCGGTACTACACGCCCCCGATGCAGGTAAAACAAAGAAAGGTGACATGGTAAATTTTTTGCCGATTTAACCTAATTTTAAAAACTTTAATACTTCTGACAATGGACGTTTTGAAAAGAAGACAGATTACGGATTTAGCCAGCGTTTTTTTCATGATTCTACATTAAGATTTCAGTGAGATATAAACTGAAATAGATGCGAAAAATACGCTGCGTCGCCAACGATGCACTCGACCACAGAGGGTTAGCCCCAATGCCAATCTCCCTTGAGAAACAAAAAAAAGTCAAGCCCCAAGTAAACTTGACTTAGCCCCTGATCATTTTGATAGCTAGAAAATCCCCTGTGAGTGTCTATGTATGAGTTTCATCAAAATAACCAACCTTACTTTTATCACAGCACAGATTCACAACATCTTTTCCAGTAATTTTTGGAAATAACTTGTGTCCAAAGCCTCCCACCACCTTTTCAAGCATGCAAACAGTTCTGTCTCATTTGCTAGACGCTCATTTTAAACTTGTTTGTCCAACTTGTCCCATGGATGGACTTTTGTCGGTCCACAAGATCTGCTCCCAGTACTGAGTATTCCAGTGTTTCTGTTCTTTAGCCTATATTAGTCTCTTTTTCTTGTTAACACCATAAAGTAAAGGTTTTCAGGCAGCAACTCGACCATGCAGTCCAGCTGCTCTCAGTCTTTGCTTGACTGTATTAAAAGATACCGGTTTCCCTCTGTTAACATTAATCACAGCCCTCAGACCATTACAGTCATCTTCCAATTTCTTTTGCACGTCTCAACTAAGGGCGTTTTTCCACCGCACCAGGTACCGTACTTTCGGTACTTTCGGTACTTCCATAAAGTGCCGAAAGTTTGGTACTTCTTTCATGTCGGTTTTCCACTGGCGTAAAACATGGTACCGGCGCCAAATGACATCATCAGTGACCGCCCCTGACTGACAGCCCAAAATTAAAACTAACAGTTGAGGCTGGAAAATGTGATTTATTGTTATGTCAGCTTCTATCACAGTATAAGATTTAGTCAAATCCAAATCATGCTGCCATCAATTACGTTTATGTAGGTACACTTACTTTGGCTAAGCCGATCAAAGCAGTAAGAATTAGCTTACTGCTAATTCAGTCTTTTGAAAGCAAACAAATTATTTAATTATGTTTTTTGATTTTCAAGCAGCATTGTTCGGTGTTTCGCGTGTGTCCCATTCTTCCAAGCGGCTTGGTATTACGGTGTTCCCGGCAATTCAGTTTCCCTATGTTTCTCCTGTCTATCAGGAAATAATGTTTCCCCTAATATTAAAGCAAAGAGGTATGTGAAATGTCTGAAAATCACTCAGGTACATTATTACATGTGAATACAGTAGATCGTCACACATAATATAGTCTTATAAGCAATACTATACCGTTTTCATCAAGAAATAGCTCTATCGAGCGAAATAAGTAATTTCATTTATTATCTGTAAAAACAAAAAACATAGAAAAGGCATGTGATGTTTTAAAATTAATATATGGCTTGTTTACCTCAAGAGCTTCGTAAAAAGACATGAAAACAACAGCGAAACCGTGTACAAATCAGCGCGCGACAGGGGAAACAGGGAAACTGAATTGCCCGGAACGGCAAAAACTTTTTTATTTTGAGTCGTGCCATCCAAATCCCACTGGATCTGTTCATCCGACCATATGGCGATTAAAGTCTGTGTTTCCTCGTTTGTCCATCCTTCCATTTTACTTTTTTATATTTTTGTTTCTACTGCTTTTTATTTTGTTTCTCGCGGTGATCGCTCTGTTCGCTGTGTGTTTCAAAAGATAGCGGTTGTATTTTGTGTTTCAGCGGCAGGCTATTTGAATAACCAATCGACAGCAAATACGTTTGCAAGTCCCACCCCAAAGTACCGAAGTACCAAAGAAGTACCCCAACTGGTTTGGCACTTTTGGTACTCGAGATTTCGGTACTGGTACTCGACCGGAAGTCAATGGAAAAGCGAAAGTACCGAAAGTACCGTACCAAAAGTACCGTACTTTGTGCGGTGGAAAAGCGCCCTAAGTGTTGATCTTTAGCCTTTGATGTCACTTTCCTTGCCCCATAATATCTCCGGTCACTGTTGCTTCCTGTCAACCTTTTTCTCTGTAAACACTAGGTCAACTCCATGCTTAGAAACATTTAACTTTCTGGCTTTTTGGCGATGAGACAACCCTTTTTCACTCAAAGTTTCAATTGTTAGCTGTGCTTTTTAGCCATGACCAGCATAACAAAATAAGAAATAGTTATCAAAAATTATATTATACCGAAATAAAACATTGGTTAAATACTGCTAAAGTTTTTCTTCTTCTTTAAACATGTTGGTTAAATATAATGAGTTTAAGTGCTTTCTTCTTTTAAAATACGGAAAGTCGGGACATGTGTGCCTACTCCTAACAGCACGTGGCTGCGGCCTGACCCCTGCTGAACGTGTATGTTCTAGTTTACATTAGGGTGACCAGACAATCCATGTCAGGGAGGACACTTTGAGCTACTTCGGGTTTTACAAACTACTTTCTAATTGAAAGTCTCCTGTGCTCGGCTAAATAGTTCAGCTCTTCTTGTGCTTTGACTGGTTTGTTTCCTTGACTGAAAGACTCATCCAGCTGTTTCACATTAGCATTAGTGACACATGCATGATTATAGGAGACTGACCAATCAGCACACAGCAAGAGCTGAGTGCTCAAGTGAAATCCAGGTCCATTTAATTGAATTTACAATTCCTGTCCTAGCTCAGAGTGTCCTCCCTGACATGGATTATCTGGTCACCCTAGTTTACATTCATCCTGCTATACGTTTTTTATTATTCCTTAAAACGTAATTAAAGAAAACTCAGTAATAAATACATGTAATGTATTTTTGTTCTCTTAAAGTTTAACGGCCCCCTATCTAACAAAACCACACATTCCCATTAGCCTAACGACATATACGCCCCCACGTGGCCCCTTACAGTCAAGCACATTTGATGCCATATACTGTATGGACATGACCCTGGACCAATCAGAATACCATCCATGGTCACGACCCTGGACCAATCAGAATGAAGGACACGCCCCCACCCACTTATGACATCATAAACAGACCGCTACTAAGCTCCGCCCTAAGTGCCTCTTAATTTCTCTCAGGTCCAACACGTCATGCTGCCTGCTGGATCCCGCCAGCACTACTCTATGAACATAATATGATTTTAGACTACATTGGGTTTTTTGCACTGACTATATAAAAATGGTAAAAAAAAAACTAATATTTCTATGTTTTTCATGTCTATTATATAGCATTTAGCCAATACATGAAAAATATATAATGCACTGGGCCGGTTTGCAGCTGAGTGTGAGGCGGCTGGGATGAGGATTAGCACCTCCAAGTCTGAGGCCATGGTCCTTGACCAGAAAAAGGTGGATTGCCCTTTCCTAGTGAGAGATGGATTACTGCCTGAAGTGGAGGAGTTTAAGTGTCTCGGGGTCTTATTCATGAGTGAGGGATGAAGGGAGTGGGAGATCAACTGACGGATCAGTGCAGCATCAGCCATAATGCGGACGCTGTACCGTTCTGTCTGAGTAAAGAGGGAGCTGAGCTGGAAGGTGAAGCTTTCAATTTACCAGTCGATCTACGTTCCTACCCTCACCTATGCTCATGAGCTCTGGGTAGTTACCGAAAGAATGAGATTGTGGATACAAGCAGCAGAAATGAGTTTCCTCCATGGGGTGGCTGGGCTCAACCTTAGAGATAGAGTGAGGAGCTTGGACATTTGGGAGGGGTTCAAAGTAGAGCTGCTTCTCCTCTGCATCAAAAGGAGCCAGTTGAGGTGGTTTGGGCATCTATCTAGGATGCCTCCAGGATGGCTCCCTGAGAGAGTATTCCCCTGGTGGAGCTTGGAGGAGGTGGTTGGTGAGAGGGAGGTCTGGGCATCCCTGCTTAGACTCAGTGCTTTTTGTACCTGGTCTGTTGAGACTATTGGTGGGGGGAGGGTGGTCTGGGAGGTCT